GGGGCTTCGCCCCTCGACCCCACTAGGGACTTCGTCCCTGGACCCCCTTCTGCCCCCCCGGCCCCTTTTCGCCGCGCACGCACTTATGGTATAAAATAGTATACGCAACTCGTACTCGGCGCGGCCGCCCTCGTGCGTGACCGCTTGCTTCCCGCACTTGTTGCGTAATATACTATTAAAGTTTGGTAGTCATTATCTCAGAAACAAAAATCATGAGGGAATGAAATTTGGCAGGAATACTCTCTATATATATTAGTTCGGAATGCGGTAATCAAATCATTTTTTCTAGACAAAAAAAAATCCGGGGTGGCTGAGTTGACATGGAATGTCCCATATATAGACATGACCCTAAAGACATCATTTCTTCACATTTCATAACATTCTTGATCATTTACAATCAAAATTAGAAAAAGCAACATTCGATCAAAAAAAAATCTGCTTTGTACATATTTTATAAGAAAATGAGATATCAATTGGAAATCATAAAAATAATCAGCAATACCAGACTTAGAAAATTATTAATAGGCTCACTCATCAAGGAATCTCGAATCCAGCAATCTAATCTCTAATTTTCATGGTTAAATTTCTTCAATATCAAGTGTTAGTTAATAATTTCCACATAGAAATAGAATTAATGTGGTTGCGTACGTAGGCCTGTCTTAGGAACACGGAAGTGGCACGGATCCATCCGGAAGCTTACTGCCACTGGAATTGGTAGAAATAAAAGAAAGAAAAAGACTTATAAGACAAAAAGTTACGGTCGCATGCCTTCTGTCGCATAGGCTTGAACCCCTACTTGTTTTTATCAATTCATTTCTGAAATTGAATATCCATGACTTTTATTCAGGCTCTATTGAGGAAGGCACATGAATTTAAGGTGATACCAAAAAAGTCAAAATTTAAGAAAAAATCTTAAATACCAAGAAAAGAGCGACACATCAGAAAAGAGGTCTCAAGGGTGCTCAATCTTATCATGACGCTCCCCTTCATGCTTGCCGGGAGAATCAGATCGACGTATGAGACGATCATTACTTCTATAAAGAAGAAAAAACATCTGAGTGTATGGATCCTTTTTTTGAGTATTTTAAACAACAATGGCTTCATGACTGTCCTCCAGAACAGTGGTCTATCTATGGCGAGGAAAAGCGAATGAATAACGCAGCGGAGAGTCGTAATCGAAGTATCAACTCCATGTTTGGGAGGCACCCATTATCATGGGACTTCATCCGTAAGTAAATACCTCGTTAGCTGAGTATCTCACCGAATACTAATGATGATTATCATCAAATTTGATTGATAGTACTCGACCTTCAATATTTGAGTCATTTTAATCAACTTTCAGATATTGACCTACTATAAATAAGAGATTAAAACAAATATATTTTTGAGAAAAATATCTGAAAATAAATTCACTTGCGGTTTTTCTACATAGTCACAAACAAATTTTTAATTCCAATGAATTAAATATGGTAAATTATGATATTTGACCTATGATAAGTACACATTTCGCGATTTTGTTAGCATTCTGCGATTTTTTTTCTAGACTGATTAGACAGCGAAATTAATCCATAACTTTCCACCACTCAACAATCAAACTCGTTCTACGATAATTTTTTTTCCCCCTATTTCTCATTGTTTTCATAAATATACATAATCAATTTCATCAATGAACGTATACATATTCTACTTTCATTGCAGAATCTCTCACAAAATTTCAAAATACCATATACTCAGATGCTAACGCTGCACGAAAAGGTACATCAGTTCGTAGGAGAAGAGCAAGCGAAGGAACAAACAAATCAAGGAACAAACGACTTTTTATCACGAACAAAATCTGTTGAATTTCCCATATTTACAGCAAATGTCTAAGTGTATTCACTTCAAGCAAAGTAGTATCTAAGACACAAAATACAATTTTAAGTTTGAATCATAAAAAAAATTCAACTGGAATTCATTATTGTTTCTAAAGCTGGAACGACAGCAATCTAAGGCTTTGGAACTCTCAGATAAAGACCCGGCGTCCTCACATGGAGAAGGGGAGTCCTCAGACGGGAACAAGAAGTCCCTAGTGGAGAACAAGCAGTCCTCCGATGAAAACAGGAAGTCCCCAAATGAGGAGATTGAGTCTCCAGATAAGTACAGGAAGTCGGGTGCCGAGAAAAAAGAGAATCTGCCACCAAATTCTGTAGAAGTACAAAAAATCATAAACAATGACGTACGAAGAGAGGAGGTTATCCATTAGTCCTTCAGTATAAAAAGAAACGCAGAGACCGTTGATCCAAAGTCGAGTGGAAGGCTGAAGTTCAAGTTGCAACGACTTTACTGGTTGATTCAGGGGTTCTAATTTCAGCCTGCGATTTCAGTTGATATTAGTTTATGTGCTTCGTTAATGAATGCTTTTTTGACACAATTCCTGAGGACCTTTTTTGGGGGTCAACAGATTTTCGACGGAACATATATCTATAGACTTCTGCTACAATCACTCTATGATCATATATCTATCGACTTCTGCTACAATCACTCATTAAGAGATAGTTGTCTGATGATAAGATATGCAAAAGTAAATGAATAAAACGCGAAGAAAATTGGTACTTTAAGAGTCAATTATTCATGTATTTCTACAGCTACACATAAAGCACGTTTTTTTGCAGTCAATTTCGGTGGCCTCCAACACCAAAAAAAAGAACAGAACAGGACAGAAAAAAAGAGTATTGTGCAGTATTTCTCTATTATCTGACGGCAGAAAACATTATTCAATTGAAACAACTGGATAAAACAGGTCTAGTAAAGTGTCTGTCTGTCTCTTTATTTATTATTCAAGAAGATTTATATGACTTTATCAATTTTATTGCTGACAAATGAATTAATTCATGGATATTGAATGTAAATAGTGGCTTCGAGGGGTTCTGGTATTGTTGGAGACGAGGTTGAGATGGAGAACAGGGATTTATTGAGGATTATTGGAGAGAAAAAAATCGATTTTGGAAGAGTTTTTTTGAGGTCTGTAGGGTATTGAAGGAATTGCGAATGCAATAAATATTGGAGTGATGAAAATAGTTGAGGATAAGGACTTTGAGAAGTCGCAGAAGTGATGACAATAATGATTGGATAATGATTTATAATAAACCGTATTTGTCGGTTTGAACAAAATCGGTGCCTGGAATCAGTTTTCGAATGGTCAAGGTAGTTTTTTTTAAATGATTTTTTGGGGGATTTTATCGTTTTTGAAATGCGTATTTTTATGTTTTTTGTTTTTTCTTACGTTTTTTCCTCAATATTGATGGATTCTTGGGGGTTTGGGATGTTGTATTGTTGTTGACTGAATTTTTTGGATTCAAATAAGGTTTTTCAATGGTTAAGGTATTTTTTTGGGGAGATTTTGTCTTCTGGTAAAATGTATTTCAGTGGGTTTTGTTTTTTTTCTCGTTTTTTGCACCGTATACAAAACCCTCATAAATGAGCCGCCCACCTTATTTATTAACCCCCCCCCCCCCCC